ACCAATGTCCAGACCGGAAGTGCAATATAACTTGCTTCCCCATTTTGGCCCGGACGGTCCAAACTGCAAAATACCACCCAGTCTGGCCCCAAATGGAGGAACTACTCATGTATTTTGGAATGTGCGCCACGTTTTAGATAAAATGTGACTCGAGAGACATAGATGTAACGTGGAAAACCCTTGCGGGAAAAAACCACAGAGGAAGCTGCAGTTCACTATGATGGAGGAGTATTACAAGCACGAGACGGCATGCCGTCTTTAGGTGCGACTACATGGGGTCTATATGAGGGCAATACATAAGAGTCCTTGTCGAACAAGTAAACGAGTTGCACTCGTATGCGTCGACGTCAACGCAACGCCCACACCATTTATACTACGTCTAGTCCAACGCGGTAGGATTTGGATCACAATTTAACACACGTTAGGCTTAAAACCCGTCCTCACACTCTAATCACATCCGAGCCCCTCCCCATCCGCCACAACACCCCTCCTCCGCTCGCTCTCCCCGCTCTTGGACCTAACGCTGCCACCCTACCCAACTTGACCACAACCGCTGTAGCAAAGAACCCCACAGATTCTTCCACCTATCCAATATCTTCGAGGCGCGTAGGGCTGGGCGTTCGGTTCCCCCGAACCGATCGGTGCGGTTCCTTGGTCTTTGTAAAATTTTGGTTCTGACAAATCAGTGACCGATCGGTCAACAAAAAATCATCGAACCGAGGTTCCGGTGCACCGAGTAATCGGTTCGGTCATCGGTTCTGACCGAACACTACCGAAAATTTATACTCTACTAGTAGGAATCTCTGCTGTGCGTTCAGTATACTGACTAATGTCAGTACTCAGTACCTAGTCTAGTCTGTAGGGATCAAGCACTGTACTGTAGGCTGTAGGGATCAAGCACTGTAGGCTATAGGCTATAGCACTGCGTGCTAGTCTAGTCTCCTCGGCCAACTCATATACTAGTACTGTAGGATCCCATTTCAGAATTTGAGATAGAGAAAATAAATCATGAATACAAGGATCGAGACAGGGGACTTGCACTTGCAGCAGCGTCATGCGGGCGTGCTGTTCAACAGGATGGTGGCGCGACGACCAAGCCCCGTCAGCGAGACTGCCTCGCTAGGTGTGCATCCATGCGTGGGTCAGGTTCACGATGCGGTCACGGGATCAATACTAGCGCAATTAGTGGTTGGGAGCTAGAGACAGAGAGTTCGGTCAGGCGTATGGGCCGGGACTCTTTTTTCTCGGTGTTCGGTTGCCCGAGGGTTAAAGCCGAATTCACCGAACCAATTTCGGTTTTCCAAACATGCAGACCGATCTTACGACCGAAGTTCTCGGTTTCGTTGTGTTCGGCTTCGATGTCGGTTATTTCGGTTCGGGAAATCGGTTTTCGGGTTATATGCCCACCCCTAGGCGCCATTGCCCGCATCTGCGCCAAACTCGGAGTTTATACAATGCAGAATGCCTAAGTTGTTGATGCGGCAGCATGAGCAGAAGCACCTCTAGCCCGAAAAGCATTCTCAACCAACCATTTCGCCCAGGTCACCCATGTTACCCTGGTCTCCTAGTTTAATCCATCGTCACAGTTGACTATCGACCAAAACTCCGACTACAACTTTGTTGAGTCCTCTAATCTCATCGGGCAGCTGACACCTTAGTAATGTGGCACCTCCATGGATGGACACAACCAGATCGATGGAATGACCTTCCCCAAGCTCGATGGCAGAAGAGGTGTTGATTTCTATGGTCAATGCAAGTCAATCATCTGGAGTTGTTGAAAATTGGTCGGCGCCCGATGCATACAGAATCCAGAAAACAAAAGAGCCACATAAACACGATGCAGGACAATTGGTTTTTATGCTTTACATGGTTGGAGGTGAGCTTTGATCCAATTGCCAGTATCGAGCAAAGGTGGGCAGATTATTGGAGGAAGGCTCGTGAGTTTTTTTAGTGCGATGAAGAATTACACGCCATTCAATATCTTAGCTCCATCTTCAGCTAGCCACCTATATCCAAACTTAATAGTCTCCTCTCTAGAAAATTGAGGAGTAAATAGAAGAACTAGGAAAAATGTAAGGAGCGCTGATGGAATATACTTGCTATCTATCACAATTTCCAGAGTTTATCATCTCCATGCACATACCTCTTGATCCTATATCCAACAAGGCACTTGTTCACTTCCTTATGGTTAGGAAATTCCGAGCCCACCAATTTTTTTCATGCATATCATGCTCCAATTGGTAAGATATAGTTTCCTAATTCCCTCAAAGTCATCCAACAAAGGGTTGACCATTTGAGAATTAATTAGGTCTAGAGACCATTTAGGGAATTTGAAAAAGGACAGCCAGGCAACCATAAAAGAGAATTAACCTACCCCTACAAGAGAGAAGCTTACCCCTCCAGAGTGCAATCTTTTTCAGGATCTTATCAGTCAAGGGCTGGATATCCTCTCTCTCGATTTTTCATAATGTAGAGGTAGACCTAAATATTTAAGGAAAACCTTTACAATCAACTGGTTGATTTCACGCTCAAGTAAACCGTCGCCAACACATGCCACGTGTCCTGTGGGGGCCAGGCACTGTCCAAACTTATCTCCTCGCCCATCTCGTACATATCATGAGAGCCACTAACCCTCCCCCCCCAGCTCGATCTCCCTTCGCCCTCCACCTCTCCCCTCTGTTTCTCCGTTGACCCATCGTGGCCCATGGATTCATCAAAGCACTACTGCCCAAGCTCCACACGGTGCTGCAAGCTACCGTCGTCGCCGGTGGTGGACTGATGCTGCGAGGCGGGGGCGTGCCCAGAACCCCGCAGCACCCGCAGCGGCCGTTGCTGCGATCAGTGTTCCCTAATCGTCGTCAGCCGTCAATATGGATGGTGTTGCTGAGCATGTCGAATGCAACGCCGCCGGTGCTATTGATGAGGAGTGCTGCAACTGGTGGATATCGTTGGCGACGGGGATGCTTCTAGGAAGCACGCGTGGTGTTGCGGCCTCCCAGATCTCGACTGACGGTGGAGCTGCAGTCTAACACACCGGTGGTCGGCGGAGCTGCTGTTGCGACGAGGCATTTCTCCTCAACTCCGGCTGCAATGAAGCTTCACAACGCCACCGGTGCTCCCACGCCATATGTTGCATCAGAGCTTCACTTGAGCCGCCTGTGCTGCGCTAGAGCTCTGCTAGGGTTGCATTGGAGCTTCACCGGAGTCGCCGGTGCTGCATTGGGGCTCTGCCGGAGTTGCATTGGAGCTTCGCTGGACGCCAATGGTGCACCATGAAAGCTGCAGTGGAGCTTTTGCTGGGGTGCAGCAGTGCTGTGTCAAAGCAGTCGGGTGCTTACCGCTCCCGTGACGTTGTTGTCATCGAACAGTTACCAATGTGCTGATCGAACGGCTGCCTAGCCGGATGATTTCTTAGAGAAATCATCCGGCTGATTCGTAGCAGTCGCCAATATTTAATGGCGAAGGCTCCTATTGGACACCCAAAAAATTCTACAAATGGAGCATCCACTAGTAGAAAAGGAGGCAAAGGTCCAGGCTGTTTCAGCCCATTAGTCCCGGTTCAGTCCAGAACCGGGACCCATGGGGGCGTTGGACCCGGTTCGTGAGCCCCGGGGGCCGGCCGGGCCACGTGGGCCATTGGTCCCGGTTCGTCTGGACCTTTTGGTCCCGGTTGGTGGGACGAACCGGGACCAATGGGCCTCGCTCCTGGCCCACCACCATTGGTCCCGGTTGGTGGCATGAACCGGGACCAAAGGCTGCCCTTTAGTCCCGGTTCATGCCACCAACCGGGACCAATGATGTGCCTATATATACCCCCTCGCATAAGAGCAGAGCACACTGCTCTGTTTTTTCTGGCCGCCGAGGGGGAGAGGGCTTGGTGGTGCTCTAGCTCACCTCCTATGCACACAAGGTGTTCGATGGAATGCCCGAGCCACACTACTTAAGCTTTCTCCATTTTCCTCAATATTTGTCTAGGTTTAGCGGTCCGTCATGCCCCGTCCCCGTCTTCACCGCCGTCGATCACTCGCGCCGATCTCATCACCGGCACCACCGTGGTGAGCCTCTTGTTCTTATCTTCTTTCTGAAAGGAAAAATATTCTTACTTGTATGTTTAGATAGATACTTGTATTATTTTCTTACTTTTATTATTGCATCTTATATAGTGCGATGGTTTTGGTATCCGCCCCCGTCGGCCCTCGTCCTGTCTATGATTCAGATGTGGTATATATTATCTTTTCATAACTATTGGTTCATTTATTGTTTATGACAATTATGCCGACCAACGTGACATAGATTTTATTTATCTAGGAGGTTTTTGAACCGGAAATTCCAACCGACCCTATTGTCGAGAGGTTAAATTTAGTTGAAGAAGAAAACAAGTTCTTGAAGGAAAAAATAAGAAAAATTGAGGTGGGGAAGATGATATTGGAGTTGCATGTTGCGGATGTCGTCGATGATCACAAGATCAAGATGGATGCAATGAGCTTGAAGATTAGAAAGA